TAATTATAAATAATTATATTTATTACACTTTTAATTTATATATTTAAAATAAAAATTAGATTAACATTATATTAATTTTAATGTGAAAGTTAATTATAGAAGAGAAGGAAGTTGGACAGTCCTTTCAATCTAAGAGGAGTTGTCCCAGTGGCAAAAGTGATTGAAAATCCCCTTTAAGTTTGTGTTCGAACCTCGGAGAGGTGACAACAACTTTTAAGGGAAATTTTTCAAAAGATTTAAACCATTCGGTTGAATGGTTTAATAATTTGTATTGGTTTAAATAGTTTAATCACTTTATCGGCTCTAAACCTTAATATGAATTGTTTATCGTATCGAGTATCAATTCGATCAATTCAATTGACCAATCCGATCTAATTTTTAAAACATTGGGTCAAATTGCAAAATATTAAGGTCACAAAATAATAATTTTAAAATTATTGACTTTGTTTAATTTAATTATTAAAAATAATTGATACTAACTTTTAATGACATAATTAATATAATTTTTAATTAATCCCTTGTCAAAAAAAAATAAAAAAATGCAATAGCTGCTTTCGTTTTTACACCCCAGAGCATTTTCGCCCCTCTGCTCAAAAGATGAACATTTTTCGTCATCCTTCAGCCCATCAACTGAGTCAATGATTAATTTGGTTACTGAACAGTGCTAACGATTAAGGAACACTCTTTTTGATACTTTTCTTCAAACACTTTCGGAAAACTGCCCCACATGACATCTAAATTTTTTATTATTGGTTATAATTTTGAATTTTACACATAAAAAAAAAATTTACAATGCTCAAACAGTAAAATATTGTATTTTTCTAATGCATCAAATATTTATTGCTTTTAATTAAGTGAACTTAATTGATTATGTAATATATTAATTTAACTTAAGTTAAATTAGTCAATTAATTGAATTAAATTAAATTATTTAATTTAAATAAATTTTTTAAATAAAATAAACTATGAATGAAAATTTTTAATTTTAAAATGAATGAAAGTAGATTTGGAGAAGAGAAACAGCTTCTCTATTTAAATTAAAATATAAATATAATAACAATGAAAATTTAAGTGAATTAATACTTACTAATCTAAAAAGTTTGATATTGAAATTAAAATTAAAAGTTTAAATTCCTATAAGACTTAGTAATTGACTCCTAACTAAAAAAATATATACAAATACCAATATACCAAAATTATAACAAGTCAAGAATTGTCACGAGTGAGGGAGTACCTCTTTTCAATATAATATCTCCAAAGATAATTTTAGAATTGCTCCATTCAACAAATCTTACTAAAGATGCCATTTGCGGGGATGGAATCCCCGTGGAGATTTTTGACCATTTTGTCTGGCATCCTGTTCCCTATGAGAATCTCTTTTTTCAGTGAGTTTATATTAAAATATAAATTTTGTATATATAATTAATAATATTTAATTACAATAAATAAAATTTTAAACATTTAACTACAATTAATTAAAATTTTTTAAATATAAAATCAAATATAAATTATTTAAACATAAATAAAAATTAATCTAATATAAATAGTTAAACCAAAAAATGTATTCCAAACATAAATAAAAATCAATTCAATATAAATAGTTAAATCAACATACTTGGGTTAAATTTAATTTTTATTAGATTGGATTTGAAATGTATATTATGTATTGTTATAATAAGTTGAATTAAATTTAAAATATAATTAATTTATATTTTTTTTTAATTTATTGTGGGGATGGTGATCCCCGCTAGGCATGAAAAATTTCATGCGTAGATTTTCTAAGGAAAAATGGCCCTCCGTCCCCACCTTGCAGAATATTACTCTCCACTCCACCCTTGACAAGATTCTCACGAAGCTTCACGTGGATCAAAATAAATTGTCACCTCTATTTCAAATTGCGAATGATTACACCGTATTTCTCTGTCAAACCTAAAACTTGGAATGGCAGGGAGAAATGAAGACATATACCTAGTAGAATTCAAAATGTAAATGGTTGTAGTGTCCCGATTGATGTGCGTTTGATTCACTAGATGGATATTGAATTTTAAATGGTGCTATAAATTCAGCACAAATAGGTTGTTTGTTTGTAATGAGTTTGGAGTATTTTTAAACTCTCGTAAATAAAAATTTAATAAATTTATTTAAAAATTCATATTTTTTTGATAAACCATATGTAGTACATATGTTTTTTTTTTAATAAAATAGTACCTACATTTTAAATTCAAAGTAGTATTTATTTAAAAAAAAAAAAATCAAAATAGTGTTTGTTTGATTGATATTTGAGATATTGCTTTTACCTTTCGGCCACATTTGATTTGGACTCTTTTCTTAGAATATATATATATATATATTGAAAATGTTTTCTTAGAACATGAATGGTATGGGCTGAAGGCTGAAGCAATTTGTAGTTATTAGTAGTGCCAAAGTACGGGCTACAGCCTACGGGCTATGAATTTGATTTACATAAATAAAATTTTTAATTTATTTTATAATTTT